CAGTTTGCTATTTCACCATTAAGGTTGTCATTTGGCTTAACAAGCAGACATCCTGAGAGGTGAAGAAAAAGGTGAATACTATCAACCCTTCATGCCTCAGTATGGATTATTTACTTCCATTTTCCTTGTAAGACGGAGGCAAAAAGTTCTCAAAGAAAATAAGTTTTATGAGGGGATGTTGAATAAATGTTGTAGCATGAATACACTTGTGTATGAATGAGCTGCATTCATAAAGGAGTGCTCAGAAACTTACTGGTGGGCTGAGGAGCTTAACCCAGGTGTGTATACACACACACACACACACACACACACTCTCTCTCTCTCTCTAACAGGAGATGCAGAGCTTCTGAGGTCTTAGGTAGCAGAAACAAACTTCAAAAGTTCGAGAAGTGGAAACAAGGGTCTTAAAGTAATAAGACTAAGTTTACCAAAGACAGATGTCAGATGCTAAACATTTGTCCACAGTTGCCTCACACAGAGGGAGATGGAAAAGGCAAGGCTTAATAGCAGCAAGGATGACAAAGATGGGGATGAGGGTGGCGTTGGGGAAGGAGAGGGAGAGGGAAAGCCGGTGGCCTCCACCTCCTGTGAATCCTGAGTAGGACCTGGCTGCCAAAATATTAATGAGTTTCTGAGCTGCTATAACACAAGCACAGTTTTCAGAACGGGAGACCCCAGAGGCATGAGAGTCAGACCACACCTGAAGTCTAGGGCTCAGTTCTGGGAAAAAATACGGGCAAATGGTGACCAAAGGAAAAGCCACGTGACAGGAAAGGGAACCAGGGTGGCAAGCAGGGCAGAAGATGTGGCCTCAGAGAAGCCAGAAGGCTGCGGGGGCAGCTGGAGAGCAGGGACCATGTCTGATTCAGGTCGGTGTTCCCAGTGCCTGATGCAGAGCCAGAGACATGTTCATGGCTCTGTTAATTGTTCCTGAATGAACAAACTGGAGCATCCCAAAATGAAAGAGCTTTCCTGTGAAGGAGAGTTCCCCATCTGTGAGAGTGTATCTGTACAAAATAGATGGTCCCTTGCTGGAGTTTTCCTAGGAAAGATGCAAGCATCCAATAAGGGCTTGGAATAGATGCTAAAGATCTATGTCCTGAGCATCTTATTCCATAAGTCTAGATATTAAAGGGCTTCCCAGGTGGCTCAATGATAAAGAACCCACCTGCCAATGCAGGAGACCTGGGTTCGATCCTTGGGTTGGGAAGATCCCCTGGAGAAGGAAATGGCAACCCACTCCAGTATTCTTGCCTGGGAAATCCCATGGACGGAGGAGCCTGGAGGGCTATAGTTCATGGCATCACAAAGAGTTAGGTGCAACTGAGCGACTAAACAACAGCAAAGATATTAAAGTCCTCACCACATCTGCCTCTCAGACTGTATTTTTCTTTCATCAATGACTCCCAAGGAGAAGGGACGGATGAAGAACAGAAGAGTGGCCAGTGTGAGGGCTGTCGGCTCCCTGAAACTGTACTCCCCTCTCTCCCCACTGTCAAGAGGAAGGCACCCCTGCCTGGCCCCACCCCCAGTGCACCCCTTCACTAACAGCATTCACTGTGCCGCATTTTTCCTGCCTCTGCCTGGTTCATGTGTAACAACCTCTCTTCCCGGAGATCTGGCTACATTTGCTTTGTACTATTTTGCCATCAACACTCACACAGTACTGCTTGAACAGCACCTGTTAATAAACATTCATTGAAAGAATGGACATATGAATCCTGCAATCTTTAGACTTTGTTCAGTTCAGTTCAGTCACTCAGTCATGTCCGACTCTTTGCGACCACATGGACTGCAGCATGCCAGGCCTCCCTGTCCATCACCAACTCCCGGAGTTTACCCAAACTCATGTCCATCAAGTCGGTGATGCCATCCAGCCATCTCATCCTCTGTCGTCCCCTTCTCCTCCTGCCCCCAATCCCTCCCAGCATCAGGGTCTTCTCCAATGAGTCAACTCATCGCATGAGGTGGCCAAAGTATTGGAGTTTCAGCTTCAGCATCAGCTTCAGTTTCAGCTTCAGCAAAGCATTAGACTTTGTTAGGAATGTGTTTTCTGCACTGGCATATTATTTGTACAATATTCTTAGGTAGAGTTTGTGTATACTCTTACACTGGAGGAAAAAGGAGGGCAGATGGGGGTGGGGGTGGGGAGACATTCTGAAGAAGTAAAAACGACACTCTGTGGGTTTCAGAAATGTCTGGGATACGATGCCTGAAGCTGAAACATCAGGTTGCACTTACTTTGGCTGTTCTGTAAACAACTATACGTTTCCTAAAAAACAAACAACAAACAGCAAAACCTCTTGTTACTTCTTTGTAAAGAAATCATGCCTATGAGATTCTGGGTCTTGATACTCTTTATTTTACTTGCTTTGGTCTCCAGGGTTTAGAAAAACCGTATACTGATCTTGTGCTGTGTGTAAGGGCTTTCACTGTTGTTGCTGTTGTGGTGGTGGTGGTCCTGCCCCTAAGCCTGCAAGATCCTAGTTTCCCAGTCAGGGATTGAACCCTTGAAAAAGAACAGGGCAGAGTCCTAACCACTGGTGACTTCCCTGCTGGCTCAGACAGTAAAGCGTCTGCCTACAATGCGGGAGACCTAGGTTCGATCCCTGGGTGGGGAAGATTCTCTGGAGAAGGAAACGGCAACCCACTCCAGTATTCTTGCCTGAAAAATCCAAAAACCCATGGATGGAGGAGCGTGGTAGGCTACAGTCCATGGGGTCGCAAAGAAGTTGGACACGACTGAGCGACTTCACTCACTCACTGACCACTGGAATTTCCCGTGTAAGGGTTTTCCGTTTTGTTTTTTAAGTCTTTATTGAACTTGTTACAACATTGCTTCTGGTTTATGTTTTGGTTTTTCATCCTTGAAGCATGTGGAATCTTAGCTCCCTGACCAGGGATGGAACCCACCCCCCTTGCATTGGAAGGTGAAGTCTTAACCACTGGACCACCAGGGAAGTCCTTGTGTAAGAGTTTTTAGTGAGCAGGAGGGGGAAAAGTGCTTGATGAAATTTCAGTGTTGGGGGGAGGGGTGGGTGGAAGCGCGCGCGCAGGGAGCTCTCTATTCCCTACCATAGTTCCTGCAGCTAAAGCAGTACCTGACCCTCAGTAGGTGCTCAGTAAATACTCAGAGAATGGATAGAATTGTTACTGTCTGCTTCAGTGATAAATATCACACAAGGAGCACATTATTAACAGTACTAGCTCATCTACCAACACCAGAATGGTTAAATGTGATTCTGATGTTAAACACAAAGAAATAGGATGAAGGAACTAGTCAATGGCGGTAACTGAATGTTAGGATTCAAAACAAGCCATGCCTGGGTGTTACCTGCCACCTGCCCGAACTGTTCTTCCCTAGTTATTCTTGGATCCAGATCTCTGGCTGCGTTTTTCAATGCTTTTGAAGACTAGGTAGGATATAAGTATTAAGTGGATGGGTGGATGGAGAGTGAGCTAAATGACAGATGGAAGATGAACAGTGAAATTGATGGGTGAATAGTTAACTGCCCACCAAGGCTCCTTCTCTGTCTGTACCTATAGTATCAGCCTGGCAATTTGAGTCTGGCAACACATCCTAACAAAATAGATTGGCCTCTAACTCTTCCCTGCCAGTTCTATGGCCCACCCGGGTTTGTAACCCCCCTGAAGTCTTGAAAGTGGAGTACACTTCACTACAGTTTTTGCCAGACCTCATTAATTCAGGAAGATGATACTCTAGCCAGTGGAAAGATACTGAGTGCATGCAAAAATTCCCTAATTGTGGGTTTCCTTTTGCTGTCTGCTCCCTTAATAAATTTGGAAAGTATTTTATGGAAATTATATTCTTTGAATGGAGCCCTCACATTTTCCAGCTCCATGAGCTAGAGCAGAGATGGGGCAGAGCAGGATGGAGGGAAACAACCGCCTGGGAAAAGTACTGCTTCCCAAGGGGATGTTTATTGTCACTGCATCTGCTTTTCAACTCTAAATCAAATTCCTCTTAGGGAAGCTGTAGGTAAAGGTGAACTTCAGGATGCCCATGTGAAAGGGGAGCCAGAAATTTGATGGGAAGGCAACAGAATGGTAGTGGGGCAGAACGCTTGGCACCGGGAATAACTCCAAGGGCAGAAAGTGTTGTATAAAGTAAGCCTGGAGATGCCTGGGATGAGATTGGGTGACTTAAGGAGGATGTGTGGGTGAGAGCAAGTGAAATGGAGAAAAGAGAGGATGCTGGTCCAGCTGACAAGGCAGAGCTACAAGGGCGGCCTGGTGGGGAAATCTGGCCAGGCCAGAACCCCGGGGGGAGAGAAAGACCCTAAATTGTTTTGAATCCACTCCTGGTCTCAAAGCCAGAGTTCCTGCAGCTACTCTGTACTTCCGCCTGTATAGCCCCGACAGGCATTTCCGGCATAACTGCTCTCTCCGTGGGTGGCATTTCAGACTTTGGATTTGGGCTGCATGGGTTTTACTTCTGCTCTTTACTTACTAGCTGTGTGACTTTTAGCAAGTGTCTTAACCATTCTGTACCTTGATTTTCCCTATCTATAAAATGGGAATGATAANAGAGAAAGACCCTAAATTGTTTTGAATCCACTCCTGGTCTCAAAGCCAGAGTTCCTGCAGCTACTCTGTACTTCCGCCTGTATAGCCCCGACAGGCATTTCCGGCATAACTGCTCTCTCCGTGGGTGGCATTTCAGACTTTGGGTTTGGGCTGCATGGGTTTCACTTCTGCTCTTTACTTACTAGCTGTGTGACTTTTAGCAAGTGTCTTAACCATTCTGTACCTTGATTTTCCCTATCTATAAAATGGGAATGATAAGAATAAGTAAGTAAGCTAGTAAGTGGTATGTTAAGGATTTGCTCTCATCACCGGCATCGTCATCATCCTCTGTCTCTGTGAATTCCCTGGATTGGGAAGAGCCTCTGAAGAAGGAAACCGATTCCAATATTCTTGCCTGGGAAATCCCATGGACAGAGGAGCCTGGTGGGCTATAGTCCAAGGAGTCACAAAAGAGTCAGGCATAACTTAGCAAGTGAAACAACAACAAATCTCTGTTCATGGCAATGAGGAAGGTCAGTTTATCTACTTGTGGGGAATAGATGTCCCATTCCACTCTCATCCCGCATTTCCTGGAACCTACACTCTCCAAGGCCAAGACAAGTGAAGGCACTACCACTCAAGGGGGAAGAGGAGGGAGATTTGAGGTAAAGAAGGAAGTGGCAGAGCTCATGCCAGAGGCACACACGAAAGGTTTGACTGTCGTTGAGACATTTCCCCCACAGTGGGGCAGAGGAGACATCCCTTAAGTCCTTGCATGAGCCCCAGAAGCAAAGATGAATGACAGCCCTAGAAGAGGAAGGACCCCGGGGGCCCTCCAGGGCTTCAGTAGACCAAGGAGTCGGAGAGGGAAGAACAGAAAGAAGGTCTGAGGGGAGAAGGTCTCTCTGCAGACCTGGGAGGGTGGCCATCATGGAAGCCGAAGTCCCGCTGGCTACGGTGGGCTGGATTCACACTGGGAAAAGCAGCTAGCGCTGCCTCTCCGCCTTCAGCCAGTCCCGTGGAGGTGAGAACCTGGAGTGGAAAATGATGTGAGCATCTTTCTAGTCTGTTCAGTGATGGAAATCACGACTCTTCTTTCTACAGTGGGGGATGGAAGGCCAGCCCTGGCTTCTTCATAACCCGCCGAGTCCTGGGGGTCTGTCAGGACGCATCTAACGTGTGAAAGTCCTTTGGTTGCAATTGGGGACTGCGTAAATTGAATCAGTGGATTATTATAATGAATTTGACATTTCTGACAGAACACTCTGGAGTATATAGGGATGTGTGTGATAACTGCTCAATGATTGACTGATACAGGTTCTTTCTTAAAAACCTCTTCCTGATTATAGCCACTTACCTTTAAATCCCTTAAAACACAAACTTAACCCATCACTGGTTTTGAGGGGAAATAACTCAAAACTACTTCAACACTGATGCTCACAGTGAGACTTTCATGTTCAAATTTTAACTTGGAGCTGTAATTTGCCTGCCCTTTTAATGAGCTATTATTAAAACCAGTGGCTGGCTTAAAGGCTTCCTAAATTAACAGTGAGAAACTTGGCTATTCTAGTTGCATCTGGGGAGAGTTCCAGCAGTGTGGCCCATTCCTAGTTATTGATAACTTGGAATCCTGCTGGGTTGGCCTGCCTTATGCCTACAAAGCAGAGAAGGGGTGAAGACAAGTAATAATGGAGACCTAAAAATACATCATCAGGAATAAATGTGTTGTGAGGAAATTCCAAGCTTTATTAAATGCACTTTTGGTGAAAGAAGCCCTACAGAGAATTTCTTAATAAATTTCAGAGATGGGAGGTGTTTGGTCACTGGAGTAGCCTACATAAGCAATTGTGGTATTTCTGGAATGTCAAAACAGCAGATTGCTGGAGGTGATCACTCAGGCAGTATCACAACTGTTTCTTAGGATAGGCTGAGGTCTAGGACAGTGGTTTCAGGTTGGCTGAGACTCCTGTTCTTGTGTTAAACGATTCTGTGAGGGACATGGACTCCTCAGTTTGGAAAGAGCTTGAGAGTGGAGCCAATCTTCCCACGTGTAAAAATCTGTGGCCGGAAGAGACACTGTCCTGATATTAAACACCTTGGTAACTCGTTCCTAAGTCCAACAACACCCACAGCCAGGAAATACTTCTTGATGTTTAGCCTAAGTCCCTCATGCTTCAGTGTAAGCTCATTTCCTCTCACTCTGTCCAAAACAGAAATAGGGAGCAGCTGCTCGCCATCCATTGGTTCATGCTTCTGAGGATCTTGACTTCATCTGTCCCCTAAGTCTTCTCTTCTCCAGAATAAATAGTCGAACTCCCAGAAACATTCTCTGAGACTGACCCAAACCACGGTTTCCAATTACTTTCTGAGTGCTTTCTTTAATCCCAACACTGATCCAAAGTACCATCTCAGCCTTTATTCAACCTTGAATAGTGCCCATTAGCTGGGTGATGCAGAGACTGGAAGGTAAACCAAGACTCCTTCCAATACTAGAAGAAGACGCGCCACCACTTCCAGTTGCCCCAATCCCGTGAGCCATGAAATCTAATCCTCAACAACTTTATTGCCATAATAGATGTACTTTTATTCCTAGCTTTGTGCCTGATGTCGCCTTATACATTTCATATAGATCAGTTGGGCTTCCCTGGTGGCTCAGATGGTAAAGAATCCGCCTGCAGTGCAGGAGACCTGGGTTTGATTCCTGGGTCAGGAAGATCCCCTGGAGAAGGGCATCGCAACCCACTCCAGTATTCCTGCCTGGAGAATCCCATGGACAGAGGAGCCTAGCGGGCTATAGTCCCTGGGGTCACAAAGAGTTGGACACGATTCTCATGCAATAATTCTGTTGGCTATTTTTATCTTTACTTCACAGATGAAGAAATATCTTCTAAAGATCTCACTACTAATAAGTGGCTGGGATTTGCACATGAGAGTGTAAGATTCAGAGCCTGGACTCTTGCCACAGTGCCAGGCTAAGATCCGTTTTCTGCTCCAAAGAGTCTCATCAAGACTGGGATGATTGAAATGGCCAGAAAGGAGGACCATAAGAATATCTTCTCTACTGCCCTATTCCTGGAGCTGAGTCCCCTTTCTCACTCATGCTGATCTTCTCTGAGCCCTGGAGAATTTCATTCTTCAGACACGTCATTTAAAACAACGAACTCTGTTATTGCACTTACTACATTTAGTTATAAAGATCTGTATAGTCAAAGCCACAGTTTTTCCAGTAGTCATATACATATGGGAGGCTTGGACTTCGGCTGAGTGCCAAAGAATTGATGCTTTCGAATTGTGGTGCTGGAGAAGACTCTTGAGAGTCCCTTGGACAGCAAGGAAATCCAGCCAATTGATCCTAAATGAAATTAACCCCGAATACTCATTGGAAGGACTGATGCTGAAACTCCAATACTTTGGCCACCTGATGCTGAGTCAGTTCTTTGGAAAAGACCCTAATGCTGGGAAAGATCAAGGGGCAGGAGGAGAAGGGCCAACAGAGGATGAGATGGTTGAATGGCATTGCTGACTCAACAGACATGAGTTTTGACAAACTCCGAGAGATAGTGAAGGACAGGAAACCCTGGCGTGCTGCTGTCCATGGGGTCGCAGAGAGTCAGACACAACTTACTGGCTAAAGGACAACAGAAGGTGGAGACTTCAGCTTTGTTTTTATCTTTTCAGTACCTAGCACGGTGCCGCTTATTGAGTAGACACTGAAAATGTGTTTGGAATCTCCTTGAATGCATGGATGGATATAACACACACAGATCCATACTTACTAATCACACCAATTCCCAAATCAAAAGTGCTTATATGATGCATATAAGGGTAGAAGCACATGGGTCCCTTTGTATAAATGCCTCTCGTTTACTTCCACCTCCAACTCCGCCCCCTCCACAAGGCTGGTTTGGGAGCATCAAACAGTTGAGAGATAAAGAACTGAATTTCATTTTCCCCAGTAACTCAAGGTGTGACCTTGGACAAGTCACTTGTTTTCTCATCTGAATTATGAGGAGAATGGCCTGCATGGTATTTGAGCCCCCTTTCTGTCCCAAATTCCCATAATTCTATGGCTATTACCTACCTTAATCAGACTTATCTAAATAATCACAAAAAAACACCACTTCATGCTGGAGAAACACAGTCATAATAGACTAAGCAAAACCAAATGCCTTTCAATATCCTGTTGTGAACTATAAAATGTCCCCTAAAATCACATTTTCCCCTTGAAACAGGATGTAAGAAAAACATTTTCCTATTAAATCCTTTTAAAATGCAAGGGAAAGCATTTACTCTGTGATTTGCCATCCAACTCAATAAAAAGGGGAGGATTCAGCCATGTTAATTACAGAAGATACTGTCAGAAAAGCAAAGGCGGTGGAAATTCAGGTTGGAAACCAAGATGCCACGCCAACAACATGATGTGCAAGTTTTCTGGAAGGAGCTTCCAAGTGTGTATCGAGCAGTTTATTTCTGCCATTACGTGGGGAAAACCAGTAAATGAGTTTTTATGAAGTGATTTATGAAACTCCTGGGGTGGAGGGAGGGAGAGCTGGGAGGAAGTGGCACCACCATACAACCCTGTGGGGGAGAGTGGAGAGAGAGGGCTTGAACTTTGGTATCCTCCGAAACGAGTTAGGCGAAGTGGGACACTTTCCTTAAAAGAGGTAAAAGAAGCTACAAGATTTCAGAGGAAATCTTGGTACTTGAGATACCCGAAAGTCTCCTGTTAGATTAGAGCCTTTAAGGGCAGAGATTCTGTTTTCCTTATTTCTGTAGTCCCTTGGAGTGTTACAGGAGCAGGGCTAGAAACATTGCTCCAGAAATGGAAAAAGAAGAGGTGGATCTCTCTGTTCATCCAGGATGACAGCAAGAGGCATCTACTCAGCTCATAATCAGCTCTCTTTTCTGTTGGCGTGAAGCCCCTGCTCTGTGTATGTATGCTTAGTCACTCAGTTGTGTCGACTCTTTGTGGCCCCATGGGCTGTAGCCCACCAGGCTCCCCTGTTCATGGGATTTCCCATGGCAAGAATACCAGAGTGGGCTGCTATTTCCTTCTCCAGGGGATCTTTCCTACCCAGGGCTTGAACTCAGGTCTCTTGCATTGTAGGCAGATTCTTTACCATTTGAGCCACCAGGAAGCCCCGTGGTAGGCAGAATAATAGCCCACCAAGGATGTCCAAGCCTTAATCCCTGGAAAGTGTGAGTACTAGGTAAGGCGGAATGGAGGTTGCAGATGGAATTGAGGTTGTTAATCAGCTGGCCTCCAGATACGGAGATTATCTGAGTACTGGGTAAGCCCAACATAATCACAAGAGTTCTTAAACGTAGAAGAGGGGGGAGCAGTGCTGGTGTCAAATGATGGGTTGTAAGAAAAGTGATGCAGTTCTCAGAAACCTATTTATCTTGTGTACCTAAAAATTTATAGCTGTTAATTGGCAAACCCCCTTCCTCAGCCGTTGGCAACCACTATTCTTTTCTCTCCTTCTATGGGTTTGACTATGTTGTTGTTATTCTTGTTTAATCACTAAGTCATGTCCAGCTCTTTGTGACCCCATGGACTGCAGCACACCAGGCTCCTCTGGCCATAGGATTTTCCAGGCAAGAACAGTGGAGTGGGTAGCAATTTCCTCTTCCAGGGGATCTTTTTGACCAAGAGATTGAGCCTGTGTCTCCTGAATTGGCAGGCGGATTCTTTACCATCTGAGCCACCAGGGAAGCCCTTGATTATTTTAGATACTTCATATAAGTGCAATCATGAAGTATTTATTCTTCTGTGAATGGCCTCTTTCACTTCGGATAATGTCTTCAAGTTTAATCTGTGTTGTTGTATATTGCAGGATTTCCTTCTTTTTTAAGACCGAATAATATTCCACTGTATGTATATATCATGTTCCTTTTTAGAACCCACTCATCTATTAATGGATATTTAGATAGCTTCCATGTCTGAGTGCTTGTGAATAGTGCTGCTATGAACATGGAAGTATAACTATCTCTTTGATATTCCAATTTCAATTCTTCCAGCTAAATATCCAAAATTAGAATTGTTGACTTATATGGTAGTTCTGTTTCTAATGTTGTGAGAAAACTCCGTATTGTTTTCCATAGTGACGACACCATTCTGCACACCAATCAACAGTGTACAAGGGTTCCAATTTCTCCATCATCCTGACTTCTTTAATAAGGTTCGTTCTTAGGAATAAAAGTTTATTCTTTGAGCTTCCCATACCTAGAATCATGGTCCTTCTTAGAGCCCCTGAGAATAAATATTTTTTGATGAATCTCTTTAGGTCCACATCCTAAAGTGAAAACACACATTCTCCAAGTTCTCTCCTCTTGGCGTTGTGAGTTCCACCATGGCATGGCCAGCCTTCCAGGGCTTGTCACTCTAATCCTCCTAATCAGGTCTTTCCTATTAGTTCAGTTCAGTGCTCAGTCATATCCAACTCTTTGTGACCCCATGGACTACAGCGTGCCAGGCTTCCCTGTCCATCACCAACTCCCGGAGCCTACTCAAACTCATGTCCTATTGGTTAGATCTATGTACAGCCTAACAGGTCCTTCCTCTCTGTCCTTTACCTACTGAAAGGTAACACTGTAATGATTGTAAGTGACAAATGCATCCTATGGACTATTTTTACAAGACATCTGGTTATAGGCTCTATCAGTTAGGATAAGATAATTATGCTACAGTAACAAACAACCACACATCTTCACGGACAACGAGAGCAAAGGTTTACTTCTCACTGCTGGCACACGCTCTTGGTTGGCTGTGCTCTGCGTCCTCTTTACTCAGGGACTCAGGCTCATGACCCAGCAGTATGTCACAGATTGCCACGATGGAGGGAGAAGAGAGAACAACACTGTTGTTCTTAAATTTGCTGCCCAGAACCAACACATGTCACTTTTCAAAGCTAAAAGGAATTACCCGATCATGTTAATCATCAATAGGCCAAGGAGTTATAATCCTCCCCTCGGAGGGACCAAGACTATGACTGAACAATAAAACAGATGGTTTCCAGTTACTGTTTATATTTTAATAGTAACTGTGGCAAGTCTATGATTTCATGGACACAGAAAACTGGTTTCTCTGTACGGCCTTGTAGGGATTTATACTTCCAGGCATTGAGCTCCCTCCATATAGCAGTAATGCCTGCTTACTAGGGTGGTAGGGCAATGAAACCAACATCTCTATAAAGGATGCAAGAATGACAAAGCCTCAGTGGCTGACAGCAAGTCTACTTTCTCACTCACAGCACAGTTCTGTCATGACTTGGGTATCTGGACGGGCCAGATTACCCTCTTTTTGGCAGAGGCTGCATTTAATGACTTTTATGAGAGTCCCAAATGATTCTAAGCTGCCTTCATCTATCCTAATTGTATGGAGGGTGCTGTTACAGGGAACTATTGATTATCTTCAAGAACTTCAATATGCCTCACTGTTTTTCAAGAGAAGAGAGCCTAGTCTAATGAATGAAGCAATGTTACAAATGAAACATAATTTAGGTACCATTTCACACTCAGCAGTTTGTAATACACTTCCACTATGCTTCTGTTCTTCCTTTTTATTCACATCTCCTCTTGGCTTTAGGAGGTTTCGAATAGTTATTAAGTCCATGGTCAACTGAAGTGACCTTGCTCTTTGAGGTTAGAGGAGTAAAACAAGATAATAAAAATGCAACATCTTTCATCCCATGGCCTGTGGGATACAAAAGATCTTTGTAACTTTTCTCGGAATTTGATGTGCTTGTGGTCACTTGTGGCTTTAGAGTCTGATGTTTTGAGCTCACTTGGGTCTCATCTCCATAATCTCCTTTGCTCTTTGCAGATACGGACAAAAAAACTTAGACTTTTCTCCAGAACTTTTAACCAAAAAAACCCGACTCCAAAACACTACTCACTGAAGGCTTGTAGTTCGGCCCCCTCCCACTCAAAAACCCTATGCAATGGGCTACTCTCTCCTCTCCTGGCCCTTGCCTGGGTTCTGGTTCCTCCCTCTTACTCTTAATTCAATCCCGTTCACTTTCTTACGCAGAGTGCTTTAACTCTTCTTTGCTTCTACTCTACCCCAGGCTTACCTTCACAGAAGCCAGAGACTCAATGTCTCGATAAAACAAGGGGCTGTTTCTGCGAGATGGAATCATTGGTAGAGATTTTGTAATTTCTTTCTCAATTTCTCTCCCTTACTCTGTTGGCAGAAGAAAGCCGTATGAAAATTTATTTTCATCATACAGGAGGGCTGCAGTGGCTGCAGTTTGGGTTTCAAATACTATTTTCCCTCTTCCTTTCAGGTACTTATGGACTTTCTTGACATCTATTTGTGATAAACTTACTTAACACAGAGGGCCTTAAACTTTTGGTCTCAGCAATCCTTCACACTCTTAAAAAATTACTAAGGGCTCAAAAACTACTTGTGTCAATGTGGGTTTTAGCTATAGATACCTACCGTATTAGAAATGAAAACAAAACTTTCAAATGTTCATTCAGTTAAAAACAAAGAATGCATACATCTTAACACAAGTGACATTTTTTTTGTGTGTGAACCACATTACCAAAACAACTTAGTGAGAATTGTTTTAGATTTTTGCAAATCTCTTTTAAAGTTTGACTTAATAGAATACAGCTGTTCTGCACAGTGTTTTGTAACATCACAAGCCACCCAGCCCCTAGGAAACCCAACTGTGCACAGTTCATGCAAGAATAAGAACTAAAAGACAAATAATGTCTTGGTATGAAAATAATTTTTATTTTGCCTACCACTATGACAACCACATTTTAATACATATTCCAGTTGTGCATCCTCTCAAAAAGAAAACAAATTATGAAACCAAAGAGACCTTGAATTAAATCTGAACCTTGAACCAAACTGTAGAAAGAACTCATTGGCTAAAGTGCAGTCAACTTAAAAAAGCATACATGAGGATGAACAGAATCCAGCCAAACTCTTCCATCTTTGTCTCCAACTCATAAATTCCTACTCATTCTTCAAATCTGCTTTCTCTATAGAGTGATGCCTTCTCCATAGAGCTTTCCCCACTGTAATTAGTAACAAGAATGATAGAAATAATGTTATCATTAATAAAGGTAACTAGCTGTCATTGGTCTCAAGGAGTCAGTTCAGTCACTCAGTCCTGTCCGACTCTTTGTGACCCCATGAACTGCAGCACACCAGGCCTCCCTGTTGATCACCAACTCCCGGAGTTTACTCAAACTCATGTCCATTGAGTTGGTGATGCCATCTAACCATCTCATCCTCTGTCGTCCCCTTCTCCTCTCACCTTCAATCTTTCCCAGCATCAGGGTCTTTTCCAATGAGTCAGCTCTTCGCATCAGGTGGCCAAAGTATTGGAGTTTCAGCTTCAGCATCAGTCCTTCCAATGAACATCCAGGACTGATTTCCTTTAAGATGGACTGGTTGGATCTCCTTGCAGTCCAAGGGACTCTCAAGAGTCTTCTCCAAAACCACAGTTCAAAAGCATCAATTCTTCAGCGCTCAGCTTTCTTTATTGTCCAGCTCTCACATCTACACATGACTACTGGAAAAACCATAGCCTTGACTAGACGGACCTTTGTTGGCAAAGTAATGTCTCTGCTTTTTAATATGCTGTCTGGGTTGGTCATAACTTTTCTTCCAAGGAGTTAGCGCCTTTTTATTTCAAGCAATGCCAAAACACTGCACGTGTTATCTTGCTTAACTTTCATTCTAACACTGAGGAAGGTGCTGGCTTCACTTTACAGATCAGGTGGGTGAAGACTGGAAAAGAAAGGCCTCTAGTTCTGTGCCCTGCACACTTGATCTGCCTTACCACTTACTGCACCCAGATGGTCACCATCCCTGTGCTTCGGTCCCGCACAAGGTGGGTCGATGAGGTCTGGGTCAGGCTGGGTCGCCTCCTGTCCCCCGGCAACCCGCGCGGCCGGGCTCAGGCAATGCCCGGAGCCACGAGAAAGGATCTAGCTTCCCGATCCCTTAGTTCCCGGGGCCTACAAGCCGCAAGAGGGCTCGGGGAGCTCGGGACTCCGGGACCTTTCCTCGCGCAGCCAAGCCCGCCGAGGTTTGCCGGGAGGAAAAAGTGGCGCTGGTAGGAGCGTAGCCGAGGGAACCGGTCCACGCCCGCGGCGGGAGGCCGGAACCTTTCTCCTCTCTCCGCGGCAGTCCCGGGCGAGGCGGAACTGTTTTTCTCGCATCGCTGTTGTCGGGCGGAGGGGTGAGGACACCGGAACGGTCCTCCAGCCGCCGGGTCGTCGCGCCGCGGTCGCCGGCTGCTGACGTGGGCCGGCCTGGTGGGGCAAGAGTGGGTGCGGGTCGCCATGGCGGTGGACATCACACTGCTCTTCAGGGCCAGCGTCAAGACTGTGAAGACGCGCAACAAAGCACTGGGAGTGGCAGTGGGCGGCGGGGTGGAGGGCAGCCGCGACGAGCTGTTTCGACGGAGCCCCAGGCCCAAGGGCGACTTCTCTAGCCGAGCGCGCGAAGTGGTGAGCTGGTTGCTATGGAAACGGCGGGCTGGAGAGCGGGGGGCGCGGACCCCAAACTGCACTGTCTGTGTCCGGCAGAGCAGTGTGTCAAAGAAGAGCCTGGGGAAGGTGGTATGAAGAGGGGAGCGGGAGAGCTGGTCCCGGAGAGCTGACGGCTGTCTTGGGAAACGAACAGTCTTGGGTCTTCCCTGGTGCTCAGACGGTAAAGCGTCTGCCTTCAATGCGGGAATACCCAGGTTCGATCCCAGGGTTGGGAAGATCCCCTGGAGAAAGGAAAATGGCAACCCACTCCAGTACTCTTGCCTGGAAAATTCCATGGACGGAGGAGCGAGCCTGGTAGGCTACAGTCCATGGACTCATAAAGAGCGAACTTCACTTCACTTTAGGTCGAAGAATGGGGACGCATGTTGGGAACTCGAAGCTCTGTCAAGTTCATGGGCTGCTTCGTGAGGTAGCGATTTCGCTGTCACTCTGCAGACCTGAACGCCGGCGAGGCTTCCCCATAGTCCTCTGCTTTCCGGTCGCAGCACTGGCCGCGATGTATTACTTCTTTGGTTTAGTCGTCTCATCGCCTTCCCCTTCCTTGCCCCGCTTCGAGATCGCGTTCAACTGATCTCTCACTTCCCCGTTGCTTCTCGCAATAGATCAGGACTCAGGCTAGGAACGGCTAGTTTGTAGGGTGGTCTTTCACAAGCATGCTCTGTTCCAGTCATCTAAACTCCTTTCTGTCCCCTGAACACAGCCGACTTCCGTTCTGGAGAGCCGTGACCTCCCCCTTAAGGGCAGGAACAGTGTTGACTTCACCGCAGAATCCCCAAAGCCTGACTCGTAACATTGCTTAGTAAATGTTTGTTGAAGGAATCAATGAACAAATGGTTGTCTGTCTTGCTCGCTACACTGGAAACTCTGTAAGGGGAGAGAGAAAGTTTGCCAGGTTCACTTTTGTATCCTTGCCACCAAGGATGGATCTCGTTTTTGTGGAGCTTGAAGCTTATACAGTTCTGTCTGTCCTCTTTAAGAAATAAAAATCCAAAATCACAATAAAAGGTTCAGAGCTTTGGGAGGTGCACGGGAGGGGCCCTGAGGCTTAAACTTCATGGTAAATCCACTTCTGTTTGATACACAGTGCATGCAGTGTCTGGTGCTTTGTAGACAGTCACATTTTTCAATGAATATATGTATGCATGAATTAGGGAGTAGCAGTGTGCAAAGGATATTCAAGCCTTGGAAGGAAAGTTGGTTCAGATGTATATATTCAGTACATCAGAAAGCATCTATTGAGTGCCTACTTTCTGACCACCATTGTGTTAGAATAATGTGATTTAAAAGGAATGGCGGGCAGACATATTACCAAAAGAAATGTCATAAAGCCTTGTAGATGTCATGTGGGACACAAAAGAGAGTGTGTTCAGTTAAACCTCAGGGCCAAGAGAGGCTTTACTGAGGAGATGATGCCTGAAACAAATCTTGTAGGAAGAGTTGTTGGTTCCAGTGCAGACAGGGTGGAGAAGGGCCTCTGAGGCTAAGAGGACAGTGTGCACAAAGGTGTGAAGCTAGGTAACGTTATGCTCAACTTATTTATACTCAATATGTGTCTACTGGTTGAATTACAGATTAGTAATGGCATTTCAGATTCTGGGAGGAGGAATTTTTCTTAGCTGAACAACTCCAAACAGGGATAATTATGGCTCTTGGCAATGTGAGCTTGACTCATTTGGACAGTGGGGTTAATGGGGATCTTGGGAGTAGAAACTGGGTCTTAAATTTAGAAGAACTGGATTCCAGTCTGCTACTTAGAAGTGGGTGACTTGAGCAAGTCTTGCTATCTGTGTCTCACATCCCCTTTCTATAAAATGGGCATGATAATACCCTACTTAACTGGTAAGCTAATTATTAGGATCTTATGAGACCTTGTACATATCGTAAAGAGCTATAATGATTATTATTGTTCCTCTTCACCCCCACCTTGATTCCAGGTAGGCCATTTAGACGTATTTTCATCAGTGTCATGAAACTTTATTCCTTACACCACTTACCTCACTTGTACTTTCATTCTTTCTTGCAAAGGGAAACCAAGTCAATTCATAAAGGAATCTGAAAATCCTGTGCAGGTACTAATAGCACCACTAGAGGAGACAGCAGCTTTCCTCTGTCGAGGTGAAACTATCCGCGATAGCAGATGTGTGGCAAGTGGGCAGCTCTTCCTCTCTCTCCCCTCTCTGGGACCGTGAAAGCTGGTGTTAATTTCCCAGCAGATCCCTGTTGCTCAGAATCCCGTGCAACACTGCCCCAGGCAGCTATTACCAGTTGTGGATCTGATATTCAAGTTGAAATTTACTGACATCCTATCTAATATATATTAATAGTAAAAATAGAATCTGTATGCCTAAAGCAGAACCATGGACTTTTTTTCTTTTTAGTACTTAAAGGGACCTGAAGTTTGTGTTGTTCAGGCTTCTCATTTTGTAGATGGGCAAACTAATATTCAGGTAAGTAAAATGCCTTGCCTTGCCCAGAGTAATAATTAATGAGGTCAAAGGGCAGAGCCAGAGGAAGAAGCCAGGTCCTTTGACCCCAGTTGAATGTTGTTTATTTCCCATCCCACACATACATTTCCACTCTTAATTTTAAACCAAAAATTCCTTAGTTGAGTTTCTTCTTCCTGAATTAATACTGAATTCATAACTGGATACTGACTAAGATTTGGAGCAGAAAGACCTGAATTTGAACGCCTCTTATTTACTGCAAGACCTTGGGAAAGTTATTTAACCTCAATTTCCTCACTTCTAAAATAGAGTGAGTCATAGCAACTTGATAAGGTGGTTATGCATGTGAAATGAGAAAATGTGTGCAAGTGCTTGCATGAGTGTGGATTGTTCTGGTTGCAAGTAAGGGTAACCTCTTGTAAACTACCTGGAGGAGGAAATGGCAGCCCACTCCAGTACTCTTGCCTGGAAAATCCCATGGACAGAGGAGCCTGGTGGGCTACAGTCCACGGGGTTTCAAAGAGTCAGACATGACTGAGCAACGGAGCACCCGGCACTGTGTAAACTAACCTGAGGAAAATAGGAATGTTTTGGCTCGTATACCTGGGAGACACAGGAAGGAGCTTCTTTCTTTAGCTCTTACCTGTAAAACTCCAGAAAGGGGCTCTAGTTGGTTCTGCTTGGGTCCTGAGCCCTCGTTAGGAAGTCGTTCAGTCGTGTCTGACTCTTTGTGAGCCAGCCTGCGGGACGTCAGGAGACCTGTGTCCTGGCCCACGTTCAGCCACGAGGGGCTTTCTGCGCCTCAGTGTCCACCTTGGTAAAACGGAAAGCTTAGGCTATGACTGTAGCAATTTCTTATAAAGCAGAGATAACTGTATTTACATCTAAGATAAACAGTGGCTCTGAGTATTTGTTGGGAATTCTGTTCTCAGATTAGGCATGCCAGTGAGTTTTTCTTTATTATACATTGCTTTTGTGAAAGCCAAGTGTCATTTATTTTTTATTTTTATCTTGAGTTCCTGACTTCAAGTCAGGCTTTTTACAGCAGCCCAAAGGCAAATGGTTTGTTCCCTGCTACCGTCCCAAGCGCCCTTCCTCTCACTCTGCTCCAGCTGCTCTGGCCTCCTTGCTCTCCTCACACCCTCCAGGCACATCCCCACCTCAGGACCTTTGTGCGTGTTCCCTTGACCTGGAGCAGTTCTCTCCTTGGTGCCACGTGGTTTGGTCTTTAGGCCTCTGCTCGTGTGTTGCCTCAGTGACCCCTTCCTCCACTGCCCTGAGTGAAGTAGCATCCTTTTTCTCTTTACTCTGCTTTGTTCCTGTTATCTAACATACTGTGTATCCATCGACCTGT